AGGTGGGATGCCGTGGTGGGACGCGCCTGAGCTGCGCCGGTCAGGGCCTTCTCCGGGCCGGGCGAACGGGAAAATAGCTGCCGCCAGTCCTGCTAGTGCTTAGCGTTACGAGCCTGTGGGGAGAAGGGGTTTTGGGATCACTTCACTATTAGGTCTGCCCTGACAGGGGTTTCGTGTATCACAAATACGAGAAAAAGGCTTTTCCTAGCAAACTCAAGAGTGAAACAAACATATTGTTTGATCTGAAAGTGCTTGAGAGCGAGGAGAAGCCCAGGGCAGAGTTTGCTCATCCTTCCCTTTGCTTTTTGCCTTTCCCATGTTTCTTTGCTATACTAAAGTGGTGTTGGAGTCCCCTACACCAGTGCCTGTGTGATCGGAACTTACCCAAACACATGATTTCTCCCAGCCTGCATGAGGTCGTAGAATTCACAGAATCATTAAGGTTGGAAAAGACCTCTAAGATCATCAAGTCCAGCTATCAACCCATCACCACCACGCCTGCCAAACCATGTCCTGAAGTGCCACATCTACATGTTTTTTGAATACGTCCAGGGATGGGGACTCCACCACCTCGCTGGGCAGCCTGTTCCAATGCCTGACCACTCTTTCAGGAGAGAAATTTTTCCTGATATCTAATCTAAACCTCCCCTGGTGCAGCTTGAGGCTGTTTCCTCTCATCCTATCACTAGTTACCTGGGAGAAGAGACCAACACCTGCCTCACTACACCCTCCTTTCAGGTAGTTGTAGAGAGCAGTAAGGTCCCCTCTCAGCCTTCTCTTCTCCAGATTAAACAGCCCCAGCTCCCTCAGCCGCTCCTTGTAAGACTTGTTCTCTAGACCCCTCGCCAGCCTTGTTGCCCTTCTTTGAACACTTCGCTCCAGCCCCTCAATGTCCTGCTTGTAGTGAGGGGCCCAAAACTGAACACAGTGCTCCAGGTGCAGCGTGACGATCCCCTCCCTACTCCTGCTGGCCACACTATTCCTGATACAAGCCAGGATGGCGTTGGCCTTCTTGGCCACCTGAGCACACTGCTGGCTCATGTTCAGCCGGCTGTCGGCCAACACTCCAAGATCCTTTTCTGCTGGGCAGCTTTCCAGCTGCTCCTCCCCAAGCCTGTAGCATTGCATGGGGTTGTTGTGACCCAAGTGCAGGACCCGGCATTTGGCCTTGTTGAACCTCATACGATTGGCCCCAGCCCATCGATCCAGCCTGTCCAGATCCGTCTGCAGAGCCTTCCAACCTTCAAGCAGATCGACACTCCCACCCAGCTTGGTGTTATCTGCATACTTACTGAGGGAGCACTCAATCCCCTCATCCAGATCCAACATGGTTTGGGTTGTACGAGCAAGGGCTCCCGCCAGCAGGACTCTCCCACCAGCAATCGACGCCTGGAGCTTCAGCACGTCCCAGGGCAGAAACCTGAGCCCAGGCCTAGAGTTACAGTTAGGGCGAAGACTAGGGTGAGGGGAGTGAGAAGCAGGAGACCTATAGGCATTAGATTGGTGCCTAGGGACAGTTCCTTCTAGAGTCATAGCTTGCTGTTATGCCTTTTCTTCCCCACTGAGATGCCATGATCTGTACATAACTGTTCCACTCACAAGATCTTTACCTGGATGGCAGGCAGGATATGCATCAGTGCTGCTAAAGGGGATGTGGAAGAGGAGGAAAATAGAATCAATTTTCTGCTCTGCTTGTGGCTTGGCAGGTCGGCTTCATGCTGTAACATTGATGCTCTTGACCCCCACTGTTTAGCTCCTGTCATAGTGGGTAGAGAAGGGGATGTGGAGCTGTGACTCCTGTGCTCCCCTTTTGACTTTGAAACAGAGAATAAGCTAATAGTGCCCTGTTCTGATCACTCCTAATCACCTAAAGCTTCGTCCCCTCTTTTTGGGGCATAACAGGGGTGGAGACAGCTGTGTGGGGAGAAAACTGAGTGGCTGCTGAAAGTCTGTCTAAGCTGGACATTGATTGCCCTGTAAGTCAGTAAGTGGGCAATCAGAAAATCCCCACTGGCTTGTCTGCAAAATAACTGTGTAGGGGTTGCTCTCTCTGATGGAAAACGTTGATGGATTTAAAGCAGATTTTCTCAGTTGAATCAGATGCATGGAGTACAAGTTCAGAAGTATCTGAGGCTGTTTACTAAGCACAAATCCCATGAAAGCGACTTTAGTTATGCCTTGGCTGTGTGTTCAATGAAGAACAGAACCTGGATTCATGCTGCAACTTGCTTACTGCTCAAGTTGTTGAACTATGCCTAGCTACAGCAGCCCCCAGTTAGAGTTTTGAAACTGTCAGGGTTTGGTCTGAAGAAGTGGTCATGAGCCCACCCTGGTGATGTGTCTCTCATGCTCTTTGAACAGGAAACACGTTACTGCTAACAGTGTAAGAGCCTATGTCTCCCAAAACAGAGTGCAAGAGTGCTCACGCTTCTCCTGTGACTGAGCACCCATCTCACCTGTGAACAGACGCCAGACACTGTGCAGTCAAGCTCCAGACTCGGCTGGAGAGGAGCATCTGTCAGCCCCTGCAGCTTAGCTGTGCTCTCCTCCCTTAGCTCGTAGGAGGTAAGTTCAGTTTTTGAAGGTAAGAGGATAAGGCTTTTTAATACCGAGAGCTTTTTGTCACTCCTCTAGGTAGACTTTGCTCCTAGTTAAGCCGTTAGTTACTGTCTCCTAGCTAAGGCGTATTGTCTGTGCACACAGTTGCGCTGGGCTAGAGTCACAGTTCAAGCCAGTTTTTCAACCACTTCTCTTATGGCGAGAGCCTCTGCGGTACTGCCAGGCATACAGCATGAGTGGGCAGAGGTGCTGAGACAAAAATAGTGGCACATTTTCATGCACTATAATTGGAATTAGTTCTAGTTAAGCTAAACTGGCCACAACAAATGGAGAGGATGCATTTGTGGCTTCATAACAATAAAATAGAAAAAAGAGTGACTTGTGTGTATGCTCTCCTCCTACCATTCCTCCTCTTCCTAAGTTATGTACTGTTCAGCTGCTCCTCCAATTTGAAAACTAATATAAGAGAAAACCTATTATGTCATTGTTGCATCTTTGGTCCGCGTTTATTTGGATGTATACAAGAAGTAAAAAGAGACGCTTAGCACTGGCTGTTGACCATGCTGAAGTTAATGGAAATTAAATAAGCTGACAAATACATTGCCATCTTTTTTCTCTGTTGGCCAAATACGATTCCTTTCTAGAGAAAACATTGGTGGGTACCTATGCAAACCGTTTTGCCTTTCATCATGTCTTAAAAATGTCAGAACTCTGCTGCTTCTGCAGAGCTGAGCTTAGATACAGAAAAGCAAAAATGCTATGGTACTGGTAATCTCATTTACATCACGGATGAGGATTGGAAATATCCTGGAAACTCATTGTGCTCAGTGCTGTGTCCTATGCACCTCCTGCCCCAGTACCAAGAATTTACCCCATATGTAGAAATGAGTGGGAAGGGGTCAATGTGCCAATTCGTTAAAAATAGCAGGTTGGCTATAACAGTGGGAAGAATTATGTCTGTGAACCACAAAAAATGCTAGTGCAAGATCAGGCAACGAAGGAAAAGATACTGAAAAAAACAGTGGAGCTGTTGCTTGGCAAGCTTAAAATCTTTGTTGTGGAGCGTAGAAACGACCAAGAATGCCTAATGTAATTCTTATTAGCCTGCTCTCCTATGGATAAATGCTCAAATTAATCACATTCAGCCGGACTGTCTGTGCTGTGGGGTGTTTGTGTATGTGTCCCTTCCAACTCTTGAACCCACTAGCTGATTTCTGCCAAAGTTGAGAGAGATGCAGTTTCTAAAAATGAAATTTCTGAAAATGGGGGACGAAGACTGAAAAGAACCCTCTGTAGGTCTGCTGTCTGGGCACCTGTTCTGACTTCCCAGGTTTTTGCTAACAGGGAATCCCCAGGGCAGATGGATCTTTTCTGTGTCTCGGCTGTGGGAAGAACTTCAAGGAAGCACGAGCTCTTGTTGGACACGAGAGTTGATCAACCAGCAGAGACAACTCTGTAGGAAACCCCATTTCACTAATTCCGGGGCTTATGGAGGTATTCATGTTGTCTCAATCCAGAACTTGGAAGAAAAAAACAGATTTAATGAATCTCCACTCTAAAGCATCTTGGAATAAGAACAAAGCTTTTGAAACTCTCAGATTTGTATGTTTTACTGAAAAAGGCTTGGAAGGTTTTCGTCTAAGTGATTCTTTATGTCAGTGTTTTGGAGAATTTTTTACTTTTAAAAAGGTTATATTAATAAATCAGTTGACTTTATCTGAATGTCACTTTTTTTTCATTACCAGTTTCTAAAGGGATTCAAGATTCGTGCATGTCACCCTGGGCTACTATGTGTAAACATTTTAAAACCTTCTGCAGCACCGTTCTGCTGTATTAAAGCTTCTGACAGTCTATCCTGCTGATTTAGCATGGCTTCAGTGCGTGCAATATGGTACTGATCCCAGGGGCTTAAATGGGTGAGAGAAACGGTTTCTAGAACACTTGCTTTAAAAGTGCCTAAAGCAGAAGAATTGCCTGAAGTTTAAACTCCAGACTGACATACTAACAAATTTGTTCCCTAGTCATGTGCTAATTGTAATGGAATGAGAATCACTTG